TTGATCCGGGATTCAAACCTAAACCACCTCATTGAGTTTAGTTGATTTTAGTGCCACTGAACGTAACAGTGGCTAGAAATAAACATTATTAATAGTAACTTTATTAATAGTGAACTCGTTTCTATTCTCTTATAATATACTTGGGTTTGCGAGCTGCAGTTATTTTTAGCGCGCATATTTACGGGACTTCAGTAATCAGCTGTTTTATCTTAAACATTGGTGTTACATTCACTCGTATATTTTTGCGATATTGAGTTTTATTTCAGAGACTAGTTGATTGAATTTCGATTGCAGTCTACAAGGCTGAATTAAATTTACTATACGTTGAATATTGTAAAGGGAAAAGAAATATTGTTTGTTACCTATTTAAGCTTTATCTCCAAAACGAATCTTCTTAATAATTTCGTGTGTGTATTTTTAATTGGGAATACGCAAAATGGAAACATACAAAGCGTTTTTTTAAGAGGACAAATCATCCAACGGCTTCTCCCACCTGGGTGAGGCGAGAGGGAGTGCCAGACTCTTACTGACTAAAAACCGCCCCGTTCCTACTTCTGATCTTCGAGCCAGAGCACTGGCAACCCGATAAGTCCTCTGCGGCTAACACAGGCTTATCATGTATGCACATATGACTTATCATGTTGCTAATACATATTATACGCGGGCAAAGCCATAGGTAATAAATAGCTCGTCTACATATTAATAATATACTTACATGTAGTTAGTATGAATGTTCGTAAACATGTGACTACAGTACTTGTTAATTGATGTTTAACCACGTGGTTATTCGTTTACCACTATAAACGGTCACTTAATGAGTTAATCGATGTTCATATCAATCATTTATTGTGCTGTATAATTGTGGGTACTGATTAAATATTATTTAATGTAAATACGTGGTTAAAAGGTTGTAGTAAGGAGTGTTGTATTTATTGCATTTTTCAAATGTTATTTCAGATTAAAAGTTTGTATTTGGGAGCACTATTTTCCTTTTATCTGGGAGTTTATATACATAAATTGCACACACACATCATATCTAGACCAGAAACAATAAATTAATTGTGTAGAGTCCGCTCGAGTTGCAAACTCGATCGAACTCGACACAAAAAATTCTAGAGAGTTGTTTGAAAATCGAGTGAAAATATCTGAATCACTCGATAACATTATAAAATTTACAGGTTTATTCATTCATACTTTGTATTCTTGACCTTAACTGAAATAATATAAAGTTCACATTCCTAGTAACATCTCAATATATCTAGCTTTAAGTATAATGTATAAATCAATGGCAGGTATCGACACACACACACACACACACACACACACATACTCGATGTGAACGTCACGCATTGCGCTGCACTTGTACGTTGACCGCAGCTTTCACAAGCTTTGCACGCTACTCGCTACGTCATCATCTGATGGCGGGAAAGTAGGAAAACTTGATTGGCAATGGAGTGTACAAGAAATTGTAGTTAATTGTTTCATTTAGATTTTTATGTATATAATAATAAGGTTAGTTATTGTGCGAAAAATATTTTACGCAAAGTTTTGGCACTCGATATATGGAAATTAGATTCCACTTACCGTAATAGTAATATCTATATAAATCACAATAGTAAATGTTGTAAAACGAATACGTGTCACAAGTGTACTGAGATAAACAAAGTTTGTTTGGCTACGTTCGGTCTCTCGGATATGTGAGTGATATGGGCGGGCGGGACGAGCGGCCGGCTCGCGACCTCCGCGGGGACTGCCGCACGCAGCCGCCCAGCGCACTAATGAACTTCTCAACTCCTCGCTCTGATAACTTACTCCTTTAACCACAGTGTGTTTCTCACATTGCTTAGAACTTCATTTAAAGCTTTTTAATTTTCATTCTCAAGTACTCAAGTACGGCAAAGCGTTGAGAAAGTAAATTATAAAGTTGTTTGTGGTTAGTTGAGCTTCTGAATTGCAATTACGTGTGACAAAAGACTCATTACTGAGGTCGCGTTGTCTGGAAACTGGTAGAGCTTGACTTTGTTCAACATTATAATATTATTAAGGGAAATATAATATAGAAGTATTTGTACGTATGTTTGTATAGACAATATCGTCTGTTTACAATGTACCGTGTTTACAGCAACATGATAAATGATATTTACTTTGCGAGCTGGTTATAAGTGTATTCTAACACATTTCTAGGCTAATGATGGTATTTTTCATGTTGTATTTGAGCCATGAGGTATTCTATAAGTAGTAGCTTCGTGATGGAACATTATCATAGACATTATTTGTAGAGTTGCAAACGCTTTTGAGGCTACATATTTATTATTAGTGTGACAAGTTAGAGCATTATTATCATTTGGTGACGACATGACTTTCGAAAGCAAATACCATTATGTGTCTATTAGTGAACTGGATGTTTTGTTAATATTTACTAAACTCGCAAGTTAAACTTTTCGACTACCTATACGACTAAAGGACACAACGCTAAATCTTTTCTTATAAATTACTTCCAAACTCAACCTTATACATTTGTATAAAAAAAATCAATTCAATTAAAACGGTTTGCAAGCGACGTGTCCGGTACAGTCCGGTTGTTTACTCGCAACAAATTAAGCTCAGATACTTCAACACGGAACAGTATAACCGGACCGGCGCACTATGACCTGTAGTACGACGGCATTCCGATAATCAAATACGAGCCGGATGTCGGATCCATACGGTACTTCACGTCACATGAATAATATGACCTGACTGTGTAACACTATTTCTGCTTTGATACGGAGGGCTTAATCTATTTATTATACGCTATGCGAACAAAATGTTGGTGAAAATCGAATTTTCGGTGATTGAAAATCTGTACTCATTTTGTAAAAGCTTCACTGAAAATTAAATGTTATTGAAGTGTTTTTACACGACTGCCTGAAAACCAGTGTACATACCTAATGTTTTTACTATCACATTATAATGTTATCGAGCACAGTGATTTGTTGTTAGAGTGAATGTTTAGTATTGAACAAAAACGTGCTGATGAAGACAAATAATAAAAGTTAAGCTTTTTTGATTGATTGCACCTGTAACGTACTGCGAAGGAAAGGTTCTGATTTTACCTTCGCAATCCGTTCTCCGCTCCGCTCCTTCCAAACCTACGCTTCCTCTGGGAAGCGTAAAATTAGAGTGAATAATATAGGTGATCAACACGAGACAATGTAGTAAGAATAAGTAGTAAATATTTTTATAGCGACGTGGTTACTGGTGATGTTTGTGGAACTATGTTTATGAGTTCACGCCTCAAACTGCCAACATACATGTATCATGGGAAGTTTCAGCTGTCATATAATATTATGATGATGTCTGTCAACATATAGATACATATATGGATCATAAGCCACTTTTTCTGCAGTCTTTTATAGCAATAAGCTCACCCTTTAACCTCTAATACATGGGATTCATAACAAAAGTGATGAAATGTGAGTATTACCTACATTATAAATGTGCAAGTCTGGCCACCCATCCGGGGATTAAAAAGGCGTGAAGTTATGTTAATCAGAAAGGTTTAAGTTTTTTTCAGTCTTATTTTTGACTAACCTAAGGTACTAAAATTAAAATAAAATTTACTAGCTAACTAGCTATGATAAAACATTCAGACAATCTAATAGTTGTTGAGAGGGTTCCCGAGACAGGCAGAATTTCTAGTAGTCCCCTTCCTCTCAAGGCGTGCAGAAACATTTATTCTTTTCATTTTAGTAAATAAAGTTTAGGGAAGGAAGTGTTTGTTCAGAGGGGATAGAACCTTATATTATGATCCGCTGATGCTGAACATATTTACATTTGTATATTGATCTTGAATAAAGAGTTCTACCCTTGGAAAGTGTTGCTAATGTGTGGAAATATAATGTAAAACCTACTGTTATTGTATAACTATATTATGTATAACTATTTGTATAGTGCACAATAAAATAAATAGTCTATGTTACAACCATCCCAAGTAAAAAATAATTCTGTAATTTAAATTTATTCTATGTTTGTATAGTTGGTAGCTTCAAGTTTGCCCCATTGTGTTTGCTAAGTAGATTTATGGTAATCCGTGGCAACGTCGTGAAGTTTTGTTAATTATATTATTTTACTCACCCGTGTTATATTTAATACCTATACTGCTGTTTGTTGTCCTTGATAAATAAATAAATAAATTTAGTATAGAATTGAAAAGGTATAAGTAATTAATTAGAGAATATTGAATAGGCATTAAAATCAGGCATTATTGTAGGGAAAGACAGGACACAAGAGAAAATTATAGTGAAGGGTAAAAAGAAACAGTCGACATTATGAAAGGGTTCGATTGTCATAGAACATTATTGCGAAAGTGATTAATACTGAACTACTAACAAAGTGCATTTGGAAACAGTATTGCTAAACACCCAAATAGACATACATACATATAGTATGTAGAATGATACATGTAAATAGTAGCCTGGTCCCCAGACACCAGTATATTTGCGACGAGCTATAAAACAACATTGGACGCTCATTCGTTTCCTCCAGCTTTACAACACTTTAATTCAACCGACTCTCTCGGAACTGTCAATATTTAAAATCAGATAGATACACGAAACTGTTTGTTTCTCTGAAGTAATCGTTAGCTAGTACATTAATGTTGTATTGCAAGGAGATTATTTGATTAACATTTTGTATGCAAATAGAATGAGTCGCTACACATGTTACAGTTTAATCATGTTTCGTTGTTTCCTTAAATCTTCCAAGTGAAATATTTGGATCTAGTTTTAAATCTTAAAAGCCTATTTGATCTTTTAGCTAAAAGAAATAACTTATCCTAAGTATATCTAAAAAGTAGTTAATAAATATGTGTTACTTACTAAGTATTTAATTTTCATCTTAATAATATATTAAAAACATAACATAACATCACGCCTTTAACCCCGAAGGCGTAAGCAGAGGTGCTTATTACGGTACTTTATACACTGTTTACAATTTATGTTATGAATCCCATGTAATAGGGGTAAGCCTATTGCCATATACCGGGCACAATACCAGCCTCCGTGGTACAACTGAGATTTTTTTTAACACAGAAATAATACCATTTCACAACCGATTAAAATAGGATCAGCATATGTAAATAGGTAGACTTTCTCCCTAATATCTAATCGCTCTGGTTAAGAGAACAACGCGAAGAAATAAAACTGTAAGTGAAAATATCAAGTCTGATAGCAACTTCATCCGTTAACTGTAACTTGAGTTCACTTAAACTTTAATGTTTCGACGAAATTCAATTCGTTTGCTTCCGACTCACTCATTCCTTATTAACAAAGGTAAAGCTACGTTGAATACCTTTTATATAACTTACATACATAATCACAGTGTTTACTGGCTTTAATAACTTATTAGTACAATTTTACCATTCAAAACATAAGAAATAATGTTTTTATTCTTATACGTTGCCCTATAATATGATTTTCTCCTGCGTTGTGTGTGTGTTTACAAACATACAAATTCACATACACATGACACTCAGACCCGAAGCAAGAATTTGTGGTTCATATAAAGAGTTCTCTCCGTGCGGGAATCGAACCTGCTATACGTTGCGCGGCAGCCAGTTGCCCAGCCACCGCGCCAACCGTGCAGTCAGAATAGATTGGTAATAAACAGATAGAGAAATAGAAGGAAGAGTTTCATGTACTATATAAAAATAAGTCGGGTTTTCCTTCCTGACGCTATAACTCCAGAACTCACGAACCGATTTCCACGGTTTTGCATTCGTTGGAAAGGTCTCGGGCACCGTAAGGTTTATAGCAAAGAAAATTCACGTTTCATCACCAAACGAAATGTTACATTAAACGAAGCCATCTGGTGGCGAAACGGAGTTCGCCGGGTTTTGCTAGTATTTTATGAAGTCATGTCACCCTCTTGAATGATCAATGTTCCAGTAAAAGACAATTTCGAATACCTACAGAAGATATTCTTTCAGACCTTTTCCATCAGGCAGTCTTCGAAAACTTGCTCCTCAATCGCTCATGAAGAAGCAAACTGTTCCAAAGAGTGTCTCTCAAAAGTCATCTATACCAACTGTATCATAAATCGAAGACATTTTGGACTATGTATAAGGAATTAAGTATTCAACACAATATACTTTACAAATACCAATACGAGTACCAGAATAATGCGTTCCCCTTTGGCGCACAATTGGCGAAACTCCGCGGAAATCGGAAGCCAATATAGGTACGCATCGATTTGCTTCACCGCAGTAGGTCGGCAGCGTGTCCTCGACTTTAAACAATCGATTTTATCAGCCATACGTATTAATGAAATGATACTGAAATAAATGGCCTTCAGGCACTCGCGGTTGATAAACTTCTACTGATCACGATTAACTTTCTCGATTACTTTTTAATTATATGTCAGAGAGCTTTGATTCACTGGTTTGTAGTGTTGTGTTTGATGTAGTATGTGTATTAATTTCTAATTGCCAACCTTGTGGAGTGATAGTGAGAAGTGAATTTTGCTTTTTTATGTTTTGTTGTTATTTCTTTGTATGTAGGTATACACACCTTTTTAAATTTTTGTTAAAAATTTATTATATATACTTTGTTTAAAGAAACTATGCAGATATATAACATAACATAACATCATGCCTTTTATCCTCGAACGGGTAGGCAGAGAAGCACATTACGGCACTTAATGCCACTGTACAATGTACACCCACTTTTCACTTTGCCTATAGCCTATTGCTATATACCGGGTACAATTCCAGACTCCGTGCTACTACTGAGATTTTTTAACGGGTTATCGGGGCTCCGGCTCGACGTGCAGAAGAAGGAACGCGGTGGTTTTTAGTCAGTAAGAGTCTGACATTCCCTCCCGCCTCACCTAGGCGGGAGCAGTCATTCGATGATTTTCCCCCTTAAAAAAAGTGTGTAAAATACAGAAACACAGTTATCTATATTTTAGCCACACCAAAAAACTAGGTATACTTTCTTACACAGCTCTTTATAAAAATAATCAAAACCCTTTGTAAGTAAGTTACATAGTAGGACGGTAGGCTGGTAGGGTAAGCAATGATGACGCGGCAGTAGGCTGGGCGGGCGGAAGTGGGCGCGGGTAACGGTGGCCGGGACTTCCGGCTGCCAGCTATGTAACACTAACCGCCCCGGTTATGAGGCAGTGTAGCCTACTATTTATATTAGATAAATGCTCGTATATTTATTTCAATTATTTTGGCGAAAAGATCTAGAAAATCAAATTAGGTATTACTTTATAATTCACGCTGTATAACCGATATCAAAAAACTAATATGCGAGCACAAATACTTCAAAAATGCAAAATTTAATACAATAATAATAAAAACAAAATAAGTAAGAATACACCCTGAAGCGATTTCATCCCACCTTTAAACATATACCACTGCACATGACACTGCATCCCTTTTAAGTCCCCAAAGCGATACGATACAAAGAAATTGGCAGACAGACTGACAGACACATATCAGTGCAAACTAGTATGATATCTAAGTGAAGGTGAGTAGGTGGAATTTCCTTTGGCAACTGGATATATTATGAAGTTAGGTACTTCAGTGACAACGAACAAAAGCTAATAATAGTATAATTGTGAGTTATTTGAACATAAGTTATTTTAGTACTATCTTAAATAATGTTAATTGTGATTAACGATATAACGGAGGCTGCGTTGGGAATTCAGGAATAGACTTTACTAGTGTGTTGTGTTTGTTAAATGATTGGATGTCTGATAAGGAATGACGGTGTCCATTATTTGGTTAAAATAAAACAATACAAGATTTAAAATTGAAGTTATTAATTGTGACTGCACGGTTGGCGCGGTGGCTGGGCAACCGGCTGCCGTGCAACGTGTCGCGGGTTCGATTCCCGCACAGAACAACACTTTATGTGATCCACAAATTGTTGTTTCGGGTCTGGGTGTCACGTATATGTGAACTTGTATGTTTGTAAACGCACCCACGACACAGGAGAAAATCCTAATGTGGGGAACCGTTTTTTTTTAAGAAAAAAGAAATAATAATAATAATATCCTCTTTCTGCATCATGATAGAAATTGATGCCAACTAAAATTAAGGGGTAACTTTACTCTAAAATCATTAAATAGCCAGCAAATATTTCGATTAAGAATAAGATGTTTCAGAACTCTTGTCTAATGTCAAATAAATAATACTGTTTTAAGTGCAAAGATAACTATGTACAAAAAATTGCGTAAGGACTGTGTAATTCAAAACTAAAAGCGTATCAATGTCAATTAAGTTATTCATTGGCAGTGCTGAACTGTCAACGCGGTGCCAAAACTATTGGGAAGTTCGAAACTTCAAAGTAGTTAACTGGTCGGCTGTCAACTTACATGAATACTTGAACAGTACTCAATTTCTGGCAAGTTTGTCGTGTTCAACTGTGTCATTGGTTCAGAGGGTAAGAATTTGAGAACGATACTGTCTACTGCCTCGTTGGCAAGTGCTGCTGCCGGGCAAGGGGTCTCGGGTTCGATTCCCGGGTCGGGCAAAGTATTACTGGGTTTTTAAAAAAATCTCAGTAATAGCACGGAGTCGGGAAATGTGCCCGGTATATAGCAATAGGCCCCTATTACATGGGACTCTTAACATAAATAGTGAAAAGTGGGTGTTACTTCTGTATGCACCTCTGCCTACCCCTTCGGGGATAAAAGCCGTGATGTTGTGTTATGTTATGATACTTTCTACTCTTATTGAGTCGCATATTGATCAAAAATGTTTATTAATCCTTAATGCTCCTTCGCTCGTTGATAGTGTCAAATGTGACTTTAACAGTCGATAAGGGATTTCGGGTTATATTCCCGGGTGGGACAAAGTATTCTTAGTCTCTCGTTTTCAGTTTATAAAAATGTTTTTTTCAGTAATGGCGCAGATTCTGCAATTTAGCCTGTCCTATGGTAATAGGCACAAAAGACTCTGGTATTATATTAAAAGACATAATGCTATGACATTTTTGGGTCTTATCCCAAGACGAGACCTCTTTCTACAAAAAACATGTGTTACATACAATTTTTATAGTTATATATACAATATGGCATGGTTCAGAATTAGCGGTGACTACCCTGAGGGCTGCGACACTATCACACGCGAGCTGAGCTCGTGCCGTGGCGCGGCGCGTGGTGTGGCCAGCCGCTCCCTTCTATCAGATTTGACCTTTTACTATCTACTATACAACTATACGGAACCGTTTGTTTGTCCAATAAAATTGATTGTATACTGAAGCCGAGGGAAGGTAGGCCATCTGTTCATTACTACTGGGAGCTACAATGTACGATAAACCCGATTACGGGATATTCGTAATCTGATGTGACAGATATAAATAGATTCGATGAGAAACGTGAAAATTTTTCTTAATAAAATGTAGAAGGATATAAAGAAACAAAGAAACCGATGAAAGAGTTATATTTGTGTTTAGATAAACGACTTTTTAACACAAACTGTTTGATCTTGTTTATCCAAGTAATTTTTCTATTTAAACTGGCAATTATCGGCGGATTCTGGATACTATTGCATTTAAGCCACCGTACGAGTATAATATTAATTTACCGCTACATGTAAAGGGCGTACACTGAGCACACAGCTCTCATGCAACATCACATAGACCGACGGACGACAGTTCGCTTCCACAGCTTTTACCGAATTCAACTAGATAGCTGCAATTTCCTGGAACCCATATAGAATAAGCTACTAGTGGCCTACCAGTCCGCGCGTGAATATTATGTTTTTACTTCTCGGCGAGTTTTCCATTTTTTCATTTATGTTGTAGGTTTTAGATTGAATGGCAGCTAGATACAACAAATGTCCATAATCAGATGTACTAAGAGAAGTTAACCCGTCGAGCGTCCGCGTTTCTTATAATCCAACGGGTGCACACGTGACATTTGGATCATTTTTTCACCGGGTGCTCATAAGGACGCTCGAGGGGTTAAAACGTAGCCATTGATTAAAGAACCTAAAGAATGATAAATAATTTCCACTGTTGGCCTATCTTACTTAAGATATAAGTAAAGTCATAACACAAAACATGTACTTTGTCTGGTAGCGGCCACTTCATGAATATTACGAATGATCCTCGTCCGCGGCACATCGTCGCGTGCCGACGCGCGACGGTTGCGTCACTTCAACCAAAAGCGTTAATATCATTTTCACCAAATTTAAATAAGCACTGAGTTCTTGCTTAATGTGTATCATCACGCCTTTATTCCCAGAATACCTAGAAAAAGGAATAATTAGTTGTCGCATGTTATAATCACATAATTTTTACAACATGCCATATCAAGTCCTTTGTGATTGGAGTGGTAATATAAAAAATATAAAAATCAGAGTTATACGTTGTACTCGTCAGTTTTTATGTAGCTTCAATGTGAGGGTTTTCATCTTAGTACTCAGTCGTGGTAGAGATTTGCAGTAAATAAAGGACTGACGCTATTGTCGCCTCGGGAACACTAGACGTCGCGTTGAGTCGACAATGTAAATGCTATGAAAGGATATTCACAGCTAAACCTTTAATGCACATAATCTATAAAAGGGTAGACGACTAATTTTTATTTTAATGTCCGTCTGGTAGATTATTTAAAAACATTAGACACGTATTTTTTCTTTTCTCACAGAAACGAATAGTTTCGAAGATATATTGATTTGAAATGTCGCGTGACGTCACTTCTCAGTACATTTTATACTAAGAAATGACGTTTTAGCCCCCACTCCTAAACTTTGATTCATTTTATCTAAGTATTGTTTTATTATACGACAAAATAAAAAAATACGTGTCTAATATTTTTTCATTACCTAACTTACGGACTAATTATATTTTTAATTTTCATACCCTGTCATCATCCCCATTAAATATTATACATATATTGGTTGTTTGTTAGAATATTATCAAAGCTAAGTAAAATATTGTAGTCAGGATGTAGCAATACTCTTTCTTCTAAACACATATATTAAGTGTGTCTACCCAGGGTTCCGTATACATATAAAAAGCTGACAGTGTGGTTATAGAACTGTGTCAATAAAAATGTTATTGTGTAGGAAATGGTAACATCCTATTTTTAAATGTCAGTGAATATCAAGGGCGAGCTCCGTGGGCCCGACATTTTTATTATTATGCTAGGAAAGGCCACTCGACAAACACTTTGTCAGCGTAACTGATTGTGTTGCTTTATTTTGACAGCTTTATTTTTACCTTTCCATGTTTTTTACTTTCTTTCGGACATGAAACGTCACTTGGCTATAGGTGTTCATTCATAACATTAATTGTCTCATGTCTGTCCTTCGTAAAATTGAGCTTTTAGTTTCAATATTATCGACAAAAGCTCTAAACCTTAAAGTATCGAGTTTGATTATTTTGTGCGATTTTGTTCTCAGTATTTAATAACCCTACAATTCTATAAAGTTCTCACTCTATAAAGTGTATGGTTCATAATATGACTGTTACCCATTAGTACTCTGCATCTAGGTAGGCTACGTGTGTATTTATTTAGGAACAAAAATAGATTTTTTCAAATCCGACTAGTAGTTAATTCCGGAGATTATCGCGCACGCGTTCAAACATACAAACTTACTTATTAATATCTATATGACAGAACGGAAATCATTCCGTTATATAATGATTTTGTTACATTATAACTATTTTCATTTGGGCTAGGTTCCGGGTGTGGCGCGTAGTAGACTCACCACGCTATCCTATAATTATGATGAAGGTGGACTTCCTATCTATCTACCAGCACACGCATATCACACTAGACCAGAATACGTTTAATGAGTATAATGTTAATTAATGAAATATTTTTAGTGTAACCTCAATTAAAAAAATCCTTCAAAAACGTGTACAAATGTAAAATGATCTCAAGACAAGAACTTATAGCTCACGCTATTAATTAAATCACAATGTAGATTCTAGTTTGTATCTCTAATTCTAGCTTAAAATTAGGGCTTATACTCCACTTATACTAAGTTTAAGCTCAAGATGCGGCGAAATTCTACAGCCGTAGCGCGTAGTCCGTAGTATGTAGCTCGTAGCGCGTAGATTGTACGCGTAGTTCATACCGCGTAGATCGTAGCGTGGAGATCATAGCGCGTACTGCGTAGTAGTATCAAAAGCTCAAGCTCAAGTCCAAGCCAAAACTCAAGAGGCTGGGTGATTAAGAGCAAACTAGCAATAATTATTATCCTATAAAATTACACTTGTCTTCAATCAATCAATCTACACAATGCGCGTTGGTTTAACAACTTAGCTACTATAAAAATTACAAAAAATAGTAAAAGAACGGCCGATACTACATAAATCTAACAACAAAGTTTCATACATCCATATATTTTGGATATTCTGTAGCTATTTGACACAAAACCATTATATTAAGAGTAAATGAATTTGTCAGGCGTACAGGTGAGTTGGTCGCGGCATTTATTGTGTTATCACAATCGAGTTATTCCATTTCCCGGGGCTAGGCAACGGGCGCAAAAAAGCAATGATGGGATAAATATTTAGTATAATAGGTATGTATCTAACTACTTACTTACAAAAATGTTACCATCTAAAATGGTTGGTATTTGGTCATTATGAAACTAGGCTTTAACTTGTCAAATGTAACATAAGGACACGTCTTAAACTCCTGTAAAACGGGCGAATAGAATTCGAGTGGTGAATAGATACAGAAGAGGGGTACATAAATGTTGGGAAAATATTCTAACATTTATTCACCCCATTCCTGTATCCATTCACTCCTCGAATTTGTTTTAATCTAAAAAGCCCCGGTGAAGGTCAGGAAATCGAACTCAAATCCTTATTATTGTGTAGACCAACGAGATAGTATAATACAGACTGATATTTTTTAATATATTGATAAACTAAACAAACAAACACAGATATTCGTCGTGTTTTATTAACACAGGTTCTACTATTCCTGCTATAAAAGTTACTTTTGTTTCTAATCCCCGGCTGACAAAGTCCTACGTATTTTTTTCCGTTCGAAATATTGATCACCACACAGAATGCCGCTACAACAAACTTTTGATTGGGATGGAAATCTCCACGTGTACATTTTTTGTGATTCCCATTCAAAATATTCATCTATTCTACAATTTCTAGATCTAAATATAAATTTAGTATTTACGCAGACATTGTTCAGAGTTTTACCTTATTTCGTAGGATTATTGTAGATTCTAGATGGATTTTATTTCTTTGAAAACCAGATATCGATGATAATTTTAGAAGTACTTTTACTACTAAGTTACTAACTTAACTAGATAATATTAAAATTACCTAGTTAAGTTGAGAAACTGAGTCGCCCCAATTATGATTTTTGTCTGAGAGCAAAGTCTACCTAAGATATTGACATATTTGTATTTTCTGCCTAAATGAGATTAGTCGCATTCTAAATAAATTTCTTTTAAAAATTTTGTATAAAAGTGTTACATATATTCCAGGTACGGTATAGCATGAGTTTCACTTGGTAGGTACCTACTTTTGGACTGCAGCGGTTCATAGACTTCCACACCAACTTTCATATGAAGTACCCACTCTAGTAACGTTAAAAGTTTCCTGCTTGCTTACAGTTAACAGCGCGGGTGACAGCTACAACCAGAATGTTGCTGATATATTTTTAGGTAGGTAATGTGTAAATATCTAAAAAAGAAAATATCCCACCGTTTATGCTCACACTCGGCCTTGTTCACGACCCTGCATCAAAGTCGATGATGTTTTGACAAAAGATAATTAAGTACATTATAATATTGCTACGAAGGAAAGGCACAATAAACGAGTTATATCATAAAATCACTGACGCACGTAACAGTTGATGAAACTTGATGAACGGTTGTGGTGTAAGGAGTGGCCAGCATGATTAATAGTGGCACGGTGACCCTGTTACTTTGATACGTGTTCCACAGCCAGCCTCCGTTTCAAATATTTCCACGAAAAGCGAAAATAGAGACGAAAAAACGCAAAATAGATTTTTGTGTCCGCTGAATGCCTCCGCTAAACTGCAAATTTTTTGCTGTTCGTGTATATAAGGAGATGTATACTTACTATGCATAAATCAATAAGTATGTACTCACATAATGTTCGCCACGGCTGTGCATTGTTCTGTGCGTAGCGATACAATCGTCTACCACCACGGTACAGGTACCGTATGACGGAGTACCCCGTGTCCAACACAGCTCTCTGCCCGTCCCGCAATAACGAGCGCCATGGAGCTGGAATATTAACAGAATGATAATCACTAAACATGATTTTAATACTCTCAATGATGATCACCTTCGCCATTGTCTACTTAATCATCGTACTTTTCAAGTTTCCTTACTCCACTTCCCTCGTTGATTAAGATTTACTCAATGTGTTTATTATTCTGTAGGTATCGTGGGTGCATTTACAAATATACCTACATACCTATTTGTGGATCATACATACAAAGAATTGTTATGTAGATACGGGAATCGAACCCGATATGCACAACTATTGTGTACGAAATGAAGAAGGGTACCTAGGTATTGTAGGTAACTAGATGATTATGATTTTATGCAAATCGACTTCTTATCATTCATCTTGACTGCACGGTTGGTGCGATGGCTGGTCAACCGACTGTCGTGCAACATATCGCGGGTTCGATTCTCGCACGGAACAACACTTTGTGTCGACAGAATCCACAAATTGTTGTATCGGGTCTGAGTGTCATGTGTATTATTTATTTTATTTATTTATTTATTTATTTATAATCACAACAGTGTACACAGTGTGAACTTGTGTGTTTGTAAACGCACCCACGACACAGGAGATAATCCTAGTGTGGGGCAACGTTTTTTTTTTTTTAAATCTTCACTTAAGTTAGAGCCTTCGAATTTTGGTTGTCTGAATTACACCTTTACCTACCTACGTCAGCAGACGACATATTCTGGGTGATGTGAATAATATTGTATCGATGAATGAAGGTCGCCTATAGAATATTCGGTGGCTAATGATCAAATGACGTCTGCATACGTAAACCATAGTGTAATTTACAAATCCGATTTGAATTGCAAATAAGTGCCTCTACAATCTACATAGCTAGGTAGTATTAGCATGAACAGAATCATGATAAATAGACAAACATTGAGTCAATGAGCACCGCTCGGGTATGCACCAATCAGTACCTACTTACTGTGTACCTACTGACAATGCTGATTACGATACAGTAAATCAATAATGATGATACGATTACTGATAATGTATCCATGTTTCTTTACTTCCCACCTTATCACATTGTAGTCGATAAGTAAAATTCTTAAACCTAAATACGTATGGTTTAAAATCGTATGACATTTTTTTTACCTTGTCAGTGTGGTCCCATGTAGGTAAATAAGAACTTGAACTGTATATCATGCGTCGGATGTAAGGTGAAGGGCTGTGACACTTGCTATTACCTATTTCAATATTCCTTATAAGGTCACCGGGGAAAATGCATGATGGAATAACCAGCTTCGTCCTAAGGAGGTTACCAACCAAAAACATGTTGACAGTGATAAACAGTGACAAGATAAGTCATTGGGATTTGGTTCCCAGAGTATGGCCCTTGTAGTGCTCTTTCAATCTTCATATCACTTAATAGGCCTATTGATAGCTAGGAGCGGAAACACGTCCTTATGTTCTCACTCGAGTGAGACGATGCTTCAATAAATATGAACAGTAGATGTTCCGTTATTCCGTACCAAGGAGTCGTTAATGTTTTGACATACCTAGTTACTTAGGTAATATTTATACTTCTACGCGATTCAAAGGACCATTGAGTTCAATAGGGGCTATATTATATTCACGACTTTATCCTAAACAATGAGAATATAACTTGAGTGTTACAATTTACATAAGAACCTCCGATTATACTACCGGTACACAAAACCATTTCAATTCGCTCAAGTACTTACCTACCTACTTATCGGATAAGGAATTCGAAATTATTTCTAGATCATTCAGTCATGCAGCCAATGATTAGGCTACATTTATTAAATTTTATTTCATTTGTATCCCAGTTCTTACTGTCACACATAGATGTAGTTATCCCACATCCTGCGATAATACTCTGTCTACCCACCAACCTATATCTACCTACTAACTAGACTAGACGAATGAGTCAGTCTCACAGTGATTTTGCATAATTTGAACCTTGGAAATGTTATGACTAGGAAAATTTAGCTACAAATCATTGTAACTTGAAAAATATTTGTAGTTTTATTATTTGTTGTTTATATCCAACAAACATGAGGATATTGACAGGAAATGTAAGATAACAGTAGAATATAGAACTAAAATCATACTTTATAAACTTAAATGACCTACCTTCATCGATTCCTTCGTAATCCCTGCGTCTGCGGCTATCACTAGCCATGTTTTCTAACACTAGGTCACTGGTATCCACAGGCAGTACATTACACACAATAACACAAGTTGGTAAACAAATGACTGTCTTATCAATAAGTCAGAGCCGACCGCCGCCTGACGGCGTCATGGCATCATTATCTCACTCGCGTTCAATTTCACTCAGCGTTCATAAAAACCACTTTATGAATGTACAATAACTTTATTTTACATGTAGATTCACAATAAATTCTCCTATATTTTAGTACAATAATTTACAAACTTAACAGTTTACAAGCGAATACTATTGGTACTATTTTAACGGTTGCATGTTTGTGAGGAAGTGAACACTCAAATGAATGATGTTTCAATCCTATTAATGATAATTAATTCTATTTTGCAAACTATTGAACAGGAAAATGAATAAAGTTAAAAATAGTTACAATGACCTTATTAATTTGAAAATGTATGAGTTCCGACTGATTTAACTTGAGACATATTTGTATAGGCAATTTTATGAACGATTTAAATAATATCACTTCTCCCGTCACCTACATAACTTAAATTTTTGTCTATTACCACTTACAATCACGATCAAGAATACTTTAAAATAGCATCTTTGTCTTTGACAATAAGACTGTGTTTCCTATTTCAAATGTATCATGACATGTGGTTGGTCTTATAATAGTGAAGAATACTAGAGTATAATTATGTATAAATTAACTAATAGAATTGTTATTAATTAATGGTACTACGTCTTCGGAGTCCGACCTCTCGCTCTCACTCGCCACCGTTATCACTGCAAAAGAAAAATATGGGTTCACCTCATGTTCTACGCTAAAACTTACTGGATGTCGAATAATACGCACACAACGCTAGATTTGAAGTTGTATGTTTATAAAAGGACGAATAATAAACAGAAAAGAAAAATTAAAAAGTAGAAAATGATCCTAACATGAAAGGATAATTATTATTATTGCATTAAGTACAGATTTCAAACATAAAAAGGTTAGTAACTACAATAGAAAGCGTGATTGTTAACAAGAAATAATAAGCAATACATAAAATAATAAAGCAATATCCTAAAACACTACTATAGCTCTAATTACTATTACAACACGGTTTATATTTGAACACAAGCTCCACTGACCTTTGCGTCCGTACAAGTAGCGAGTAGCGAACCTTAGGGGGCACAACTTTGGGAACAATGTGAAATAAAAACTCTTGAACCACACAATAAATAAAGCAACATTGTATTTAAGTCAGTATATGTACCCTGAGTATAATAAAACAAGTATAATGAAAATGTACATTTGTTATATTTCACATAAAAAATACATTTAACAGTATATGATACAGCGGGCTTGCGTTTTGTGTAACATCAATAATTAACACGTATTTACACACTTAGCACTATGGAGGCGTAGCTACTCTTACACTTGAGCTCCAATTATGTGCACTAACTATTTTAAATTCAAATTTAACCGACTAGATGAGGAGACAGTAAACATCGCATGTCTAGCAGTTGCAAGCGTCGTCACTTCATACATAGTACATATATAAATAGCATATAGGAAGAAGAGAATTATGTAAAGAGCTACGAGATAGAGTAGTTAGTCAGCCATCACCGGCGGCCGTCCGAAGGTCTTAGTACGAATTTGTTTTCTAAACGTTACAGCGTCTGACGCTCTGATTGGTTAGTTCATTGGCGCAGGCCAATCAGAGCACGGTAGCGTTTGGGTGTCGTTAAACGTAACAAACTCGTACTACACCCTCAGTACCTATGAGTTTAATGTTCAAATACTCAAATGCCACGCAATTTAAAGACGCTCTCAAAAATAGTAATGTCACTACATTTCTTTGTGACAACAGCACGATGTTAAAGTACAATTTAAAATTGAGTAGCGTTTCGGTATTCGGGCCTAAAGCAATATTTGATGGCTATGACGTCAATTATATGAATGGCAGATTTTAATTTCATAAGTGACGCAAGAGGCGTCTGTAAAATTTGCCATACATAAAATTTACGTCTAATTTATATTAAACTCATGGTAGAAGTACAGGTTAAATGACAGTAGCAAGTTGATGGATAGTAAGACATATAGTATTAGTAGAGCATCATTGTTTAAACACTTTCTATTAACTAATACATTGGCGTCAGTGGAGGTCGAGAGGGAGTTACAGGCTTTGTACAATTTAATCTCAGTTGTCAGGGTATGAAAATTAAAAATGTAATTAGTCCGTCAGTTAGATAACGAAAAATATTAGACACGTATTTTTTAATTTTGTAATTTAAGTTTAACCGTGGCATCTAGTTACGTCACCGCTCCCTATAAAATGTAGTAAATCGTGACGTGACACGATATTTTAAATCAAAATATCATCTATAATATTTAATTTTGTAATAATCTACCAGACGGACATTTAGGAAATTAACCAAGCCTTGAGCGGACTTACGATTTCTGATTTTACTTATACAAAACAAACTATATTTTTCTCCTCTCGACTAGCACTGAATTAGACGCGTCTCTATCACAACACCTAATTCTACACAAATGGAAAGACAGAATTACCTAATTCACAGTATTATATTGCCTTCATCGCGTAACAGTCATATTAACATTTATTTTTATAACAAGATTTATTTACTAAACATTTCTAGGAACCTATTGTTTCTGAGAGAAATAGAAGAAGTTTTAAATACAGTATTCTTTTAGCAGTAAGACAATTAAGGTATCAACAGGACAGAGGACTTAGTATGCCTTGGTTTTACGCTTAACGAGACCGCGTTCGGGGCTGTGATTGGCCGGCTGTTATGAATAAACCAATCAGAGCCCTGAACGCGGTCTCGTTAAGCCCTTAGAGTGTAAATTTTCTAGATTTCTTTATTAATCTAATTTCGCTAATAAATTGGCCAAGAGATGACAATCTCTACAAATGATACGATCGACTACTCGCAAGTAGAACTGAACTGTGAATCAACAGAAATGGTATTAAAATATACAATATTTTGTTTTCACTATAACTCTCTTTATGAACATGGTGGATATTTCCATATTTTAGCTATTTACATAAATAATCTCTAGTATTTTATGTTCTAGCTGACGTCTACCTGACCTACAACTAGCAATTTTAATACCTAGTTACATTAACTCAAGGTTGTATTCTGTTTAACGTTTTCAGATATGCACTTACTACAGTGTGACGACGAAACAGATTTGTATGAATTATAAATTAAAAATAAATAAATCAATGAATTATTTACAACGGACCTGTTTCGGCGTCCATTTTAACAGAATTCAACATCGAAAATGTCATGTAAGTGCGAATATTTCGTGTGAAGTGTTTTGTATTCTTGTGTAATTAGCAGAGTATGTTTAACTGGCAACCACGATGTTGGCAAAAAATAAAAATTAGAACACCTTTAATAGTGTTGTATACAGTGCACATAATAATGAACTTTATGTTCACTACTTAATGTACAAAATTGTGTAACTACAACCAAACACAGGTAGATTTATTTTATGTTTCATTTTGAGCTTTAAGTATAAAACAATAAGATCGAAACTACAATGACGTCAACATCGCGTTAGCCAGTTGGTACACAAGTTGTACTGCGTGTTGTGAAGTCGGCACGTCCATAACTTACTAGTCACAGCTTCCTATGTGTATGAGATAACTATTATCCGATACTCGCGCCTCATCTACAACAATGATGCACAATTTATGACCAGCGACGGGGAATATCGAGAACACATTGATTTACAAAAAAAATCCTTATTGTAAAAGCGCTGTAGAGTTCATTTTCACTTGTTAACATTAAAAAAGAAATCAGTGTATTTGATTATATCGGAAGCTATTATGTACTTACGTCTATAGCATTTTCAAAGTGGATATAATGAATTCTCGCCCCATCACCAAGTCGTATTATTACTGTTATGACCCAGCACCATCAACTACCATGTGTTAGTACATTAGACATGCACTGCCTACCCCCGTCCCGAGAGACACACGCTAACAGACAGGTACAATGTTACTCTTCCCTTACTATAAACATCGAATAGATGCGAAAACTGTCTAAATGAACGGCAAATTATACTAGTGCAGAACGAAGTGCATCGAAATGTCTTTCTGAAGCTGAACATAACAAATTCAACCTTAACTCCACAGCGTAACGCACACATTTCTTCTGAGATTTAAAAAGTCGCGTGTCTATGATTGAAAAACTCTAAAGCCAAGGATACACTTAGGTACAAATGTCCCAAGACATGTAACGGGGACATGTCGAGCGAAGCCGGCCGATGTCGCCCGACATATACGGTGACAACGCGCAACTTGTGTCCACAGTGACGTGTTGTTGCCAGACATGGCGACCGAAGTCCGGCAATGTCACGCGACTTCACCTGACGTCCCTGGCGACACGAGTCGCAGGACATTTCTCCTCGTATGTATCCTTGGCTTAATTCAGATCTCAGAAGTAATGTGTACATTATGATGAGGAGTTAAAATTGAATTTGGTATGTTCGGTTTTCAAAGGACATTTCACTACGCTTCGACTCTGCGCTAGTATAGATTGACCCTAAAATTCTTTGCTAGCTTTAATAAACGTAAAATATTATTTCTTTAAATATTATTATGTAGATTTATTACTATTGGTTCGTCTTGCACAACTATTGTTTTCATTTACCTTATACCCTAAGCATATTTTGTCGACATCAAAATTATGTCGGACTTATCTAACGCGTAGATGCACTACAGGTAGAATCAATACTACAATAGCTTTGGAGAAGGAAGTACAAGTATTACACCTATCAACACTAATGAAGAGCAATTGATTTTATTCGAGAGCGAGCGGTCGCGGCCGCCGCCATCTTGTATCCTACGTAATAAGTTACAACGTTCCTATTGGACGCTAGCTTGTCACACAAGTAATACCGTTTGTCAACATGTCACTTATGATTGTATTCCTATGTCGAGTACACCTATTGCTTCAGTATAGAGACATTTGGACGTCCGTAGTGTGTACTGAGTAGACTTGTAACAGTGACGGTGTCGGAACACCGCATCCTTAACCAATAACATACAAACCGAGCCATCACTAACAACAAAACAGTAAAACATAGTTTGCTTTGAACGCTGCCGCCATTGTACAACGAAATTTTTAAAACGAAAGTTCACTGCACGTTACTTAAACATTGTATTTTATACAACATTGATTACTGCCCGGAGACACGGACGTTGGCGTCGAGTCTTGATTTATCTACAAATAAAATAACTTAATTTGACCTTAGTAGGAAAGGTTACAGCAGCGTCCAGAGCCAACTTTATGTAAGAAAGAAAACAGAGGCCCGCTCGAGGGGAGCCGGGGCCCGGACGAGGGGAGCCGGGGCCCGGCGGCGGGGCGGCGGGGCCCGGTGGAGGCGAGGTGTGTGGGGGCTAGGCGTGGTGCGCGTGCTGCGAGTGCTGCCGCTTGGGGCGGCGCGTACCGTTGGCGGCGCCCGCCGGCGGGGACGTGATGCGGAACAACTGGATGCGGAGGTGCCCGCAGATCTCCAGGCAGATCTGGCCGCAGTATCTCACCAGGTCCACGCACACCCAGATCTACCGAGCAACACAAACAATACGTCAGCAACGTCACTTTGATATTATTGAGCCACGTTAGGGTTCAGTAGAACACCAGGGCATACCTGCGCAAGACTATTAAAAAAATGTGAGTTTACAATAATTGGGATGATGACTTGAGCGTATGAAAATTAAAAATATAATTAGTCCGTAAGTTAGGTAATGAAAATATATTAGACACGTATTTTTTTGTCTTATAATAAAACAATACTTAGATAAAACGAATCAAAGTTTAGGAGTGGGGGATAAAACGTCATTTCTAATTATAAAATGTACATAGAAGTGACATCACGCGACATTTCAAATCAATATATCGTCGAAAGTATTCGTTTCTGTAAGAAAATAAAAATACTAGTCTAATGATTTACAATAATCTATCAGTCGGACATTAAAATAAAAATTAGGCATCTACCCTATTGTTACTCACCGTGCATAGCCACAGCACGTAGTACTCTGGCAGCGCGTGGTTGAAGTACTGGTTGAGGAATAACATGGCAGGGCCCAGCAGCGACCAGTCGTAGTAGTCCATCTCACTCTTTGTCATGTGAGCAACCTGGAAACATCATCGGTCTGATTGTTATATCTATTTTGGTATACTGGCTCTTGAACTTCACCTGAGTTTTAGGTATAGAGCATGTGTGAGTGTTGCAAAATTGAGGCGTGAAATTCAGTAACAAAACACACACAAAAACTCAAACAGCACGCCTTTTAAATAATGTGAGTACTCACCACAAGCCTGTTGGTGACCTTCGCGGCGACCATACCGAAGGCCATGATGTAGAGAGACGGGTGGTGCTGGTACACGTTGGACTCACTCTTCTGGAAGATGATGAAGGCCGGCACCACCACCAGCGAGAACGGGATCACCGGCGACAGGATACTGGTGCCCTGCGGGAACTACTGACTGTACCACGGCCTTCGGAGCCAGGCACGTGCGGCACGGTGCTTGACAAACAGTGCAAACACATTCAAACTAAGAGGCATTCACACTATTACTTAGAAAATTTAATTCAATTAAAAACTCAAATTTAAATGCATGCATTAAAGTTTAAAAGTTTAAGTACTGTTTTATCAATGCTCTAATTGCTAACTACTAAAACTACGTGCACATTGAGCAAGCAACAAAATAAAGCGGCGGTTAGTACGAAGCCAGACAAGACATGCAATGAATGCGGCGGGTGCACTATGAGACACAGCACAACACTACAGGACGGCCGTACGATACGACGGTACAACACTAGTGATCGGTCGGTCATCGAGCGTCGTGAGTCGGCGCGGTGGCACGTTAGTACACTCTGTGCAGCGCTTACTCAGTTAAGTGTTATTCATACGGCACAATGCTAATTGAAAAAGTCTTACTGCGACGGTGGAGCCGTTTTTCCCCACGCCACCCTTCATAATGACGGTAACGTAACTGACGACTAGGTACGTGGTGAACAACACGACTGCGTAGTTGGATATCAGATTCAAGCTGATGTTTATCGGTAACTGTAGTGTTAGACCGTGATATGCGATGGTGGTGATGATGTTCACGTGATGACGGCATGCGGTTAGGTCCCGGCGGCGGCGCGCGGAAACAGAAACACATACATGCCATTAATATCATTTACACGGCCTCGCGTGGCGACGGACTCCGGCTGTACTGGACGCGTACGGCATGTGCTGTCTTCACTCATTTATGTATGTTATATAGCTGGATGTGTGGTTACTGGCCACTGCCAAGCCCCCTGCGATGTGGTTACATGATTCTGTGTTCCATGGCCAAGGTAACACAAATACACTGTTGACGATTCCAATATAGGAGCGTAATGAACTGTTGGTATATTGTATGATACTGTTATACCAAAACCTAGAACTGTGTGCCACCTTAGAAAATATTATTAGTTGAAGTATAATAAATAGTAAAACTTGTGCGAAATATCCTGCGGAACCATGGCCTGTGTGGTAAAATCTAACACCATCTAACACCCGTGCCTGAATCAAATTATTGCGATGTGCGAAAACCACCTTATAAATAATAAGATAGAAAATAAACTAAGTTAATGCTAACACCTTGATATACTAAATATACTTTAATAGGGTTAAATTAACTGGCGAATTTAAACTGATAATTTTGTATTCCCCGACTATTCTTAGATTCAACGAAATAACAATTGTAGAAACAAAAACATTACAGCATTCTAGCTCACACACAAAGTTAAGATGCATATTATATTTAACTTTTTATTATCTTGTAATATAAATAATACGAATTAAATGTTTCTAGCTTTTGTATCATAACATTATGAAAGCTATTGTTAATCACTGCGAATGGAAGTAAGTCCATATAATGTTGTAAAACAATATAAAGTATATTAATATACAATAATGGTCGCCTGTTATTTACATGATAATATTCCATGCAGCTTGTTAAGATCACGAAATGTGACGATTCAGTCGTACAGCTTCATGTGACGTCAGAGAGACATACTCTGTACTCTACTGGACAGTCATCAGGTCAAGGTTACTTAGTAAATGCATTGTCTTAAGGCACTGAATCGTCGCATTCGACCGACGTCCCACGGATGTTCAAGTAAACATTAGCAGTCTTACGGCGACGGTCGATCCGTTTTTGCCACATCCCCTAACTCGGAATGTAGAAAAAAAGTTGGTGGCAAAGTAAAACTGTGCGGCGAAGCACATCGAGGTAACCTGCAGGCTCAGCGGCACGCCCAGCGGGGGGATCTGCGGCATGAGGGGCCCGTTACACGTGGCACTACACAGCCTCGACACAACCACGGTGCATTATGTACACTGCATGAATCCTTCAAATGAGTGAAGACCCACAACAAAGGAATAAAATAAAAGGGGAGACGCACCAGCCACGGTATTGATAGTAAATTAACTATGAAGGCTTCCCCACACACGAGCGGCACACTTCTCATTGACATGTGTCACTGTATAATCTATTTTATTGTCAACAGTTACTGAGATACAAGTAGACCGATCGTGCGGCAGGCGGCGAACATTCACACAATGACTACAACAAATGAATCAAGTCTACACTAGACGATACCGCAAGCACACCATCGGTCTGACCGCACGCGTGGGGCAGCCTTTACGTTAACGTGTCACTAACAAATCCTACACGGAAATAAGGACATTCTTTAAATAAATAATAATAGATCATGCTCCGTGAAGAGACAGTGCTATAGTACAAAGTCCTGTTTACTTATACGAGGTACAGGCTATAGGTACAGGTATAGAGAACAAACTACGTGGTACTCCGAGGCCGCAACAGGGAGCATAGTCTACTTACATTGAATTAGATTCATGCTATTAAAAAAACCCACATGATAATAAGCGATGGAACCAAAAGTGTCTTAGTTTAACAGAACAAAGCTAATGTTTGGCACTCACACACACGGGTACATACACCTTCATTACTTAGTGTTGCTTGTATCGTTTACACGGTTTAAATAGATGCCTTTTGCATTTGTAATAATGTAATGGCACATTTTTGCACAATTACCTAATAAGAGTGTAATTTGCTTAACCATGGGCAATTTCGATCACAACCTCTTCTATGAAACTTTTATTATTATTTTAATAAAAACTAATTTTGTAAGAACGTTACAAGCAAACATAATGGGTAAGTAACGTAAGTGCAGTGCCCGCGTGTGAGTGCCGTGTAACTGCTGCCAATTCGAAGCTGACTACTAACCACGCTAGATTATGCTGGTCAACAGACAATGCTTACAATACGATACAATTTAGATACCCAATCTATAACACAATCAGCGCCGCAGTGGGAGAACCAACTTTTCTGTGTGGCAACATTATAAGACATAGACAATTGACTATTTTTACTTTTTTTTGGATTTACTTTACTTTTTTTTTCTCAATTTGAAAGACTGAATATAATTATGTTGCTAAGATTAGCAAAAGAGGGCTGTCCAAAAAGGGATGTATCGACATTCTGGCATGTTGTCAAGTCATGTATGGTAATAGATTGGTCTCCCACGGTGGGTGATTGTAGGTGGGACTAAAGAAATGTCTCACAGCGACGGTGGAGCCGTTCTTGCCCACTCCGCCTGTGACGATGGAGGCCAGCAGCGCCCCCACCGTGAGGAACGCGCCCCCCACGGCGACCAGCGCCAGCGAGTAGCGGACCTCGAGCCCGCCGCCCACCTAGTGCACACGTGCGTTACTGGCCGAGTGCTAGTGCCCGACGACACAATGTGCCTCACATCCACTCAGCTCCGCCAAATAGAAACCGCAATATCATGATGTAAGGAAATCCCAGGAAGGGAAAAAATCGATTCATAAAAAGTGTAAACTAGGAAATTACTCGATGATTTTATAATGACTGCAAAGAATAATTTAGTGATACAAGGAGAGCAGTCCTAGTTGGCGGAACTACGTCCACATTGTGCAATGATCGACTGGACAACAAGGCTTTCAGGTTGAGTCAGTAGTAACCTGATAATGACGGTGGAACACTGACAGATCACGACTATAGCGGTCATGTGGGTATTTTTAAACGTCGCCTAACAGTTTACAGCTGGTGGCTTGTCTTTAGTAGGTAGATAGGTACTTAGTTATTTGAATAACAAATTATATCCATGCAACACAAAAGAACCACGTTTAGGATAATTCATTTCTAATTGGTTCACTTTCATAATTATTTGTGGAACGAATCCTCTGATAAACATTTATAAACGCATTGCATTATACAAACGATCCGAGCAGTTCTTTCGTGTGTACATTAAATATTTGTGAGCCAACATTGATATAATGTCAAACAACTTGTATTACAAGTACTGTGTTATTCAAACGTTAGATAACTGAACATTGGACAACACTCAGCTAAAATAATATGTATTAAGATAATCTGTGAGTCTATCTGTATAACGCTCGCCGTACAAAATGACTTGCAGTATGTTTTTGTTGGGGCTGTTTATTGACGTCTGCGTACGTAATTTGCTTGAACATAACGACTTTATGTGGCCAGTGAAGGCTCGCACGTCACTACATTCAGACAAAACTCTTACAAACAATGTTCATGTCTGTAGTCTATCTAACTTTTATGTTTAGAAGTCATTTTGTACTGGCAGCTGGAAGATCGTAAGGTTTAAAGGTAGGCAGTGCAGTATGGGTGGACTACGTTACCTGAGTGGCCCAGAAGCTGGGGCCAAGTATGGCGGACACGAGGTGGATGGCGATGATGGAGTACTGAGCCTCCGTGACGTCTATCCGGCCCATCTTGAGCGTGCCAGTCACGTACGCCTGCCAGTGAGCGCAGTAGAACAGAGTCATCGCGCAGAAACACTGAAACATCATGATAAATAATTAGGAATATGTTCCTAGGTTTGAGACGTAATTAGTTTAGTGATAGCTAAACCATTCAGAGTAAATAACAGACTTATACCAAGCTCGATCTAGCATGGCATGGACTATAAACGATAGAACCAAGCATCTATTGTCAAATTCTTGTTTTTGGAAGTTTTCAGTTACGACTGAAACTGTATCTGAATCGAATCAGATAATTCAAATCGATTTCATTCTCTCGTACCACGGTGAATGATTGAGCTACGAACTAGACTAGATTTCTTAGAAATTGTAGCGTATCTGTAGCAAATGATGTAGCAAATGATGTAGCAAAAACTGTAGGCAACTTCTTTTCTATTAAGTGTTGTTTTTTTTCAACTCTAAGGCATAGAGGAGCTATAACTATAATCTATTCTTACAATTCACAGCGTGATGTGCTAAGTCAGTGCATCATTAACATGAAGCAAAAACCATCATACACAATTACCTAAACCATCGTTGGTCGGTTTTCCAACAAAATCAGGCGTCATAATATGTTAGCACATCATATACATGTTTGGTATAAACATACATACATACATAACTTCACGCCTGTCTCCCATGGGGGTAGGCAGAGACTAAGGAACGCCAATTACTACGATTCTTACATACCTCTTTCGCTTCATTAACAGTCATCAATCTTTTCATGCATGCTCGTCGGTTAAGGGTACTTTTAATTTGGCCCTTCTTTAATATATCGCCAATCTGGTCACTATATGTCCGTCTAGGGCGCCCTCTACCGACGGCTCCATTCATATCCGCTCTGTATACTTCTTTCGTTACTCTACTTTCATCCATCCTTTCTACATGTCCAAACCAGCGTAACATTCCCTTTTCAATCCTTGTCACTACATCGTCTTTCAATCCACACCTCTCTCTAATAACACTATTTTTCACTCGATCACTCAATTTTAGTCCACACATACTTCTCAGGGCTCTCATTTCCACCGCATTAATCCTGCTTTCATGCTTCTTCTGCCACACCCATGATTCACTACCATACATAAGCGTTGGTGTCAATACACACTGCATTACAGCAAGTCGAGCTTTGCTGGATATTATTTTACTCGACATTACAGAGTGTAAAGCACCATTAACACTATTTCCCGCTTTCACTCTCCTTTCAATATCCCCGTCACACTTTCCATCTCTCGTAAATAGTGATCCCAGATACAAAATTCATTCACTTGTTCCAATTTTTCATCACCTATCATTACCTGACATTCTGTTACCACCTCATTTCTTTCTATCACCAACACTTTCGTCTTGTTCACATTTATTTCATACCTTTCCTTTCAAATGCATCATCATAGCAGTGACCATTTGTTGTAATTCTTGGGCCGACGAGGCAACAAGCACCTGGTCGTCGGCATACAACAATGTTTTAATCACTGTGTCATTCATCCTTAATCCAGGCTCTCCTACTTTCAGGTCGTTCAAACAACTGTCCATAAATAGGTTGAACAGCCAAGGAGATGCTAACAGCCTTGCCTAACACCGCGATTAATGTCAAACCACTCCGTGTAGTCCCCATTTATTCTGACACAGGCACTCGAGTCCTTATATAAGGATTTAAGTGCCCGAATCAGGTGGCTATCCACCCCATACATGGACAGAGTTGACCACAGTTCATCCCTCACCACTCTGTCATAAGCCTTTTCTAGGTCTATAAAGGCACAAAATACCTTTTGGTGCTTTGATAACACTTTCTCTGAAATGCACCGTAACGAAAAGACTTGATCCGTACACCCCATTCCCTTTCGAAATCCCGCTTGCACATCCCAGATTTTACGCTCAGTTACATCCATCACTCTTTCGATCAATACCTTGGCATACAACTTTCCTACTACGCTTAGGAGGCTTATACCGCGATAATTTTTGCACTCCTGCTGTGATCCTTTTCCTTTATATAGTGGCACAATTACGGCCTTGGCCCAGTCTCCCGGGACACGACCGCACCGCCAACACTTATTAAAAAGTAGATACAGCAGGCTTGCAATTACACCTCCACCCTCTGTTAGCATTTCAGAAGTTATCCTATCACATCCCGCTGCTTTACCTACTTTCAAACTCTTAATGGCACTCACATCAATTTATTTCTCCCACATTAGCACTTTCATTCTCATCGTTTACTTCCTCTTCTTTCAAATCACTCCTTTCAAATAAATTCTCGAAGTATTCCTTCCACTGCTTTAAAACATCCTTACTTTCTCCAATGACACTCCCATTTATATCCCTTATCGTACTTACTTTCGAGTCCCCCACTTTGCCTCTGGCCCTTCTAACTAAATGCCAGAATAGTTTAGCGTTGGCTCGAAAGTTCTGCGAAAAATTCCTTTCAAACTTTTCCTTGCATTCATTTTTCTTCTTGCTAACTACCGCTTTTGCTCTCTTTTTGAGACTTACGTACTTTTCTTTCATACTTTCTAGCATTCTCCTATTTGCCTTTGAGGCTAATAAGTCAAGCCATGCTTTCTTCTTTTGCTCTATCACCTCTTTTACTTCATCATCCCACCATTCATTCCTCTTGCTTCCAGTGTTATTTTTCTTGCTTACCCCACATACTTGAGTAGCTACTGCGATCACTCCATCCTTAAATTCCTTCCAAAATTCTTCTATATTCCATTCGTCACCTTTCATTAGCTCCCTAAACCTTTCATTTAATAATTTCTGTACTGGTCCCTAACTTCCTCTTCTCTCAACCGTTCAACTCTCACTCTCTCGGTTCCAGGCAACTTTACCCGTGGCCGATGTCTCCACTTCATTGTCAGTCCAGCTATTCTGGTAATTACTAGGAAGTGGTCGCTTCCGACATTCGTGCCACGGTAAACCCTTGTATCCTTCACTTTTGTCCTCAGGCGTTCATCAACAATCACAAAATCAATCATACTTCTTTCTGTATGCCTCTGCCATGTATACATGTGTATCTTCTTGTGACCAAATGTTGTGTTGGTCACAACAAGTTCCTTTTCTACACATATATCCAGAAGACATACACCATTCTCGTTCACTCGTTCGTCTCCAAATCGCCCTAATACTCTTTCGTACCCATCGCGTGCCACTCCAACCCATCCATTAAAATCTCCAAGCATAATTATTCTTTCATTCTCTTTACATTCATTAAGAACATCTCTCAAGTTATCCCAGAATACTTCCCTCACCCCAATTGGCTTTGACATGTCCGGGGCATACGCACAGATGACAAATAATTTGGTCAAGCCAACTTTAAGGCGGATCCAAAGTATCCTGGGACTCACACATTCATACTCTTTCACACATTCATTCATCCTTTCAGATAGTATGACCCCCACGCCCTGGCTGCCTCTCTGGGAACTTGCAACACCAGACCAGTAAGCAATATATTGGCCATGCGTGGTAGTCATACAACCCTTTCTTTTCGTCTCGCTCACCCCTAACAAATCAATCTTTCTTGTATTCATCATCTCACATATTTCTAACATCTTGCCTTCTACACCTCCACACACATTCAGTGTAGCAAAAAGGCAATCCTCAGTCCGCTTTCTGCCTACGCACGGGGAGACAAAACGTGACGTGTGGCAGAGCACGTCGCCGTCGGGAATTTCGCCCCCCCCAGATACGACGGGGCTGCCTGAGCAATCATGCTCAGGGAGGGATTCTCCAGCGGAGCTGGTACCCTCCTGGGGTAGTGTACTCTTTAATCCCCTGTTCATAATGCCCTGTCGCATATCCCTATGGATGGGAAAAGGAAGTAAGGATGCTTGGTAGGGGGTTGTGGGTCTATGGGATAGGAAAGCTGTGGAAGCTACGATCACCCCGTACAGAGACAGTAGTGATCAAAAACTTCCACAGCTCAAAGGTTAACGGGGATACTGCAGAAACGGAAAGGATACGAGGAAAGTTCCTGCAGTAGCTCAGGCGGCCAGGGTCGCGTCCCTATCTGTTTCTTCCTTCATGATCGGACAGACCATAAAGTTGAAAACAGCCTTAGCCATATTTTGGTATAAATACAAGGAATAAACTTGGTGAAAACTCGCAGGTTTCGCAACTCGTCCTAGAATCAATCACGAGTGTCTCGGCAAGCATTCGCGGCTAAATACTGCGTGTGTCGGTCAGTGGGTTACCAACAGTTCGAACAATTTTTTACCTTTTAGTTTAATAGCTGTTAATCATTCTATCTACAGAGACTACGTATAAATCGATATGAGTAATCTCGGTCGAATTTAGGTAAAACTTAAAATAATGTTTCGTTATTTCGTAGAAATTGGCCTGTTTCCAGAGTTTGGTGGTAGCCGGCGCAATAGTTTGGCAACACTCCCAAATAAGAATATTGAAATAATGAGGGTCATGTCGCGAATACGGAAAAGTACATTATGGCATTACGTCACTGGTAGGGGCGACATACGTAACTACATGGTTCATTCACGACTACAGCTGAAAGCCGCGGGCAGTATATAAACTTTATATACTTTTTAGCCCTTTATATTATAAACTTTATAATATAAAGGGTGCAATTACAGTTAAGGATCGGAAGTCTAGCAACGAAAAAATTATGGGCATGTCGGGGACGCATCCGACATACCATGACGTAGATTTGATGCCTTAGAAGTTCGTTCCTTCGAGTTTCCTTAGAAATACGAGAAATTAATGCAGGATTATTTTTCACTCAATAAAACTCTCCAAGCTTCTAACACTTAACAATTTAGTGTTCCTATTTGAAAGCTAATAAAAATGCATTTATTTACATTCACAGATTTTTCTATTTCAGTACCGATGAGATGAGACTTTCTCAGACATTTTTGCCAACACTTGGTTTTATTGGCTGGCCTCGTTCACTGACAATATTTTCAGTTACGCGAAATAAGGCCAAGTGCTCTGTAATGTAAACTTTCACTATGCCAACTTTTATTACAATGTGTACAGTTGTTTTTGCGTCATACACACGGAAACAGATAGACGGAGGAATAAATAATGCCGCATCTGTATCAATGTTTGGAGAATAAAAGGAGGTTGTGTTTTCGAAAATGAATTTTATTGGCGTTTAACCATCATATTCCGAAACGTTTATTTTTATGTCGTTCGCCTTATTCATAATATTTCTCAATTCTCTCGTCCATAACACATACTCATACATATACAAACAGCGTTATCAAATAGATTGAATAGCTTATCAATCGAGTATTTCATGCGGAAAACAAACTCTACGCATCTGAGCTCGATAAAATACCAAGAGCTAGTATTAAATCTGTAAATTATCACGAACTGTAATAGAAAAATGTATTATTTAGTAGGACTAAGAGAAAGTAGTTAGTTTATTGTTATGTAAGATCAAAACAAATAAACAATGTCAACAGATTGCTTCGCAAACACCTGGTAATTGAATCGACGACCTATAAGTAATTTTCACGACTGTCGAGCTCTTTCGAGCCACGTTTCTATACGGCGTTGTAGGTACTAATTGCATTAGAGTGCAGAGACTAATGTGCCAGGAACAATAGTCACTGCGGGGACATTTTCCACAGATTACCGCAGGGACTAAGTGACATTGACTAGCAAATTAATTGCAAAGTACGATACTTATCTAAATTACGTTTTAATAAACACTAATTGGTAACGTGACGTATCGCAGGTTAATAATAATTACGAAGATTAGTAATACTGATATAGCGCCGAGCTGCTATGGTACGATATAATTCCCTCCGTCATCATCGCGATGGGTGGGACTACGTGCCTACTTGTATTTAATCAAGATCCCATTAATCTGCTAATAACTTTATGACTTTATTGTGGTGGGCCTTGTAACAATATAGTGCATTTTTATAGCCGGAGCCATGATTCTAGTTGGCGCTCCTTAAAGGTACTGATTTAATTGGACTCAAGTATTATGAGTCAACCTACTTATGTCGGCCATTAAAGATGTTTGTTCATGAAGTCAATCATGTACCAAGCGTTCTTTGAAAGAGTGGGCAACGGCGCAGTATCATCGATTCTATGTACATACCAACGTCGATGTGAAACGAGACTAAATTACATTGGTGGATCCCTCATTTTAAAGGATTACTTCTGTATTTTGTACTTTAAACTGACCCTACTTTATCTCATTTGGAATTAAATGACTTAAAAACTAAATCATATGTAATAACAGAACTATTCAGTAAATAGGTAACACTTTTACATGATGACATGAACTAATGTTAAAACTGTAGAGCATTTAGGAGTTGAGAATGATCGTTCCTTTATCTTTGTTCTTGGTTGTACCAACTGTTAATTTGATTTATACTGTTATGAAATCAGGTTGGAGTTTAATTTTATAGCTAGGAATTTTATTGCCCTAGAACATACCTTTTCTATAGTAACTAATCAGTTATAGCTAATTAACTATTACTAATACTTAATTAACTAGGTAATCAATCGTTAATAATGGTGCTCATTCAAATTATAACTAACTAACGTTGTAAAAGTTACGTGATAACTTACCTGGAAGAACATCCATGTAGGGTACTCTCCTAGTTTGACAGCTATGCAGGCGCCCAGCGCTATAAACACGGTGGATATGCTGTCACAGCCGTGGTCAAAGAGCTCGCCCAGCGGTGACTGGCTGCCTGTGCGTCGTGCCTGCTTGCCATCGATAGCGTCCAGGCTCTGGTAGATGAAGACTCCTAGCGCGCATAGTGCGCACGCCCACCGCGGAGGATCCTGCCTCGCGTCGGGACTGAACCTGCAGCATTATAATATTCAATGTATAGGTGATTCCAGCCAGATAACATACATAGTCTTATGTTGAACATTTCTTTAGTTTTGAATTTGATAAAGACGTGAAACTTTGGGAGAGCTTCGAGTCTGCGACAAATTGTAAAGCAGACGCTTAACTACGTAACTTCTGCTCAAAACGTGTAACTGTTGCAAGATTGTTCTTTTAGGAACACCTACAAACAATGAACTTAAGATCATCGTGAGATGATTCTGCCTGAATAATTTACATGGCACTGGATTACCGCGGTCATTGCGTTCAGCGCGTAGGTGTGTTATAGGCTTTACAGGTCACTACGCTATGCTATAGGAAAGGCGTATAGGTCACAGCTAAACAAATATCGTACCTATTTATAGTGAGTTAATATAGCCTATTCCATCATCAAATTGCTTTGATTAGGTATTGCAAAGGTATGCACGCAACCATGACAAGTTAAGTGAACCGTGACACATGTAAGTGCTACTGATGGAAACTACCCAACTACAGGATGTCGACAGTCACGACATTCTAGCTCCCAGCACGAATGTGAATCGCCAGGTTTCAATTTAGATCTCCAAGTTGGACCAAAAGCATCATTAGATTGCTATATAAGAGAGAATCCGGGATTTTCCATTGTGCCATGTAAGGCAACGACTATTTGACTTTTTTGAATGACTCTCAGGAGAAAAAATGGTGCATATGAATTTACACATATTCCTGTGCATAATATCAGAGTCCAGTTTCATAATAACTAAGATACAATCGATTCAATCGGGATAACAAGGTTGAATCATATAGGTACTTAACTAAGTTTGAGAATTATCAAAATTAATATTCACGTCAGAGTGAATAAGTAAATTAAGAACAAAATATAAAAGTAAACATACCTACATTTAGTATCGTAAAACTGAGTGAATAAGAATGTCAAGATAAAATTCTAATTATTGTTTCAATAATGAATCATTCAGACATTTTTAATTAATTTATGATTAACTTTTGTACAATCTTTGTTGTGATTTCAATATTTTCAATGACACAGATATATTTTTTATAATATTTAGCTTACTTAGGAAATTAATATTAAAAACCCTTATTTCTGTTGAATGTATTGTCTTTATTCTCTGATTATGAGTGAAACTACCACTACCAGTTGAATGACATCTCTTTGAAATTATGGAATTGACAAAAATTAGAATAATAAATAGTGTAGCGTATTGTAAAGTACAATTACAAAACATGTAACCACAATATTTTTATCAAAACAGGAATAAAAATCTTATTTTAATTAAAACCAATTGAGAAAAATTATTGACCCAGTTATAAGTAGGTAGGTATTAGCTAAATCAATATTTTCTCAATAAATCCATTGTAAAAATAAGGCCTTTGAGCCACGGTGTTTATTTTAATATTCAAATTCCCAGTTGTTTATTCAAATGAGGTTAATTAACATACTTTATCTATGTACATTTACATATATGGTAAATTAATTACCATACTATAAAAGTAATCTGACCTTATTTTATTGCGAAAATAATTTGCTTGACTATTTAAAGTCTCTATGACTACATATATCAGTTTCCTTAAAATCAAAGTTAGTATTTTCCAAAGTTCAATAGTAAAATATGATGTAGCATAATATTAAAATTCATATTTTTCAAGTTCAATCGAGCAATATATCATTCATATAAATGTTTTATAACAATTACTTACTCATAATTCTTAAACTAAACCAAATTAGACAACACGGAAATAAAGTTTTGGGAAGTCGGTTAAAAGAATAATTATGATATTGTGGTATGGTAGTGTTATCTTTTACAGCAAAATTATCAAAATTATATATAAAAAAACTGCTGATGCAATGAAGAAAAATGATTATTACATTTTATTTCATGATTAAAACTTCAGTTACTTTATCTTATCTGGAATCAGTTAGGTTTTGACATTAACTGACAAAATTGATAACATTTTACTAACTTCTATATATACTTTATCCTAAATAAACTGTCCTTGACAAAATGATAGTCATGCTGATAGATAATAACATCAATCTAAAGCCTCAGGAGGTACAGAGATTACAAGTAAAGTAAACTAGAGGATCTAAGAAGAATATCTACTCCGAATCTAACCCTATGCTCAACCACATATGATTAATGATAAATGAAAGACATGCCTTATTCAGTTATCATCATAACAGAGAGAGTGCAAACACAAAGGTTATGTGTCAAGTAAAGTACCAGCCAGTCTGTGACAGCATCCAGACAGAAATCAAGGGCTGTACCTATTATTATTATTGTTTGAGCTCATTGATAACTTACTGGAGAGACAACTGTAATTTAATTCCGGCTATCTTATCGAAACACAGTGGCGCGACAATACTCGACCAATCGCATGCCTCTCCTTTCCAGCACTACAATATGTAAACACGCGCTAATGTACCGTATTGCTGAATGAAAACTCCACTACTTCCTAAATCTAGCCACTACATCTACGTAGGACTGATACAACACACCGTTAGAACGTCTTAGTACAGGCAGAAAATGAAAGTCGTTACGGTCGGACGAGATCTGTGACACAGTTCCTATGTATTGATATAACCTTCAATGTACTTACCAAACTAGTATAAGTGTGGTGACTACATTTACTATTAAACCTAATATTGTGATGAGATTCGGCGCAAGCCATAGCGGCGTTTTAGATACTAGCCAGCACCACCACGGCTGGAGCCATGCATCCAATATACTGGCACTCGTACAAGAATATTTGTGTTCACTTAGTCTTTTTAACTGGGCAGCATTGAGTATTCTCTCTTTGTAGAACTGCATTTTATTTCACTGTCACGACATTACAATGCACAACAAAATTCCACTATTACTATATTCACAAGATAAAAATTCGCAAAAACGTAATGTAAATCACATTCACATCACAAATCACGACTGCTCTTGATACCATAGGCAATACGACAATTTTTTATTCGCAACTGTGTTCTGTCATCCAGCCACGCGTACGCCATAGAGAATATTTTTGACAGTTGAAAATGTTGCTAGTAATTAAATTATTACATGATTCGGGGAAATAATGGACGGACACAATTATTTTCCGATCTTTGACAATTTGTCACACGCGTGGGCCGATTTTTGTGGACTATATTGTCATCCAAATTGACATTAAATAATTTTAATTAATGGAAAAGTGCAAATCATAATGTAAAATTATGAAATTATTGGTTTTAACGGTTAGCCATAGCCTGCAACAAAAAACTATAGGTACCTACACATTTCGTTTTCAACACTAATTGTACCTCTGCAGTACGCAATGGAGTTTTCTAATATTTATTTCTAGTCGAAATTGGTACAGTAATGTCATATAATCTTTTATTTAGGGCCGGTAAAATTTTTTCTTCTTATTTGCAATCGGCTTCCTAGCCATAATTAAATGTGGTCTTATTGGTATTCTTTATTATTGTCTGTCAAGCCAGTTTAGTCCCATGAAAAAGGCGGCAAATTCAAAAATCGTTCAGGTATAATTTAATTATTTCAAATATGTTTTTTTTATCAAAAATTCAAGTATCAATAAGTTTTCAGTGTGCTATACAGTGGTGCTATATCAGTGTTGACAACTGAAAGATTTTTAATTTGCCGCCTTTTTCATGGGACTAGACTCGCTTGACAGACTCTATTTAAGGCCAGTAAAATAAACATTTTACAACACAAAGCTTTATTTCAACAATAATTACATTACAAAGATAATATAATACTTTCCAGTCATAAACTGTTTCATACATAAAAATTATCGAAAGAATTACAAAATGAAGACAAAAATATATTTTGTTACAAAAATATTTATATTTCAATTGTACTTGATAATCTACTTACTTATCTACATAGAAGTTAATTTAGTACTTACATTATTATAAAATAAAATATTATCAAACTTCGTTACATAAAGGTATTTCAGCATGACAAAATTAAAGCCTTATGAAAATATTTGGGAAAATATTTTTTTAAATAAATCAAAAAATCTTATAGAGTTTCACCCTATTACTCAAGTAAAGTAAAGAAGCGACGACTCTGTTAAAATTATATACTTCATTCATCAAAATAATAAAACTTTTAATAAAAATGTTTTGTATTAACATTGTACCTAATAGTTATCTATTTTTTGCCTGATTTTTCCTGGCTTCTATTCTTTTTTGTAATGTTACAAGTAAAGCACCAAGAACATTATGTCCGGGTAGCCGTTTCCCAAAGAGCAGCCGTTTAACTGAGTCATCGTATGTAAGAAGTGCTACCATATTTTGAAGTAGGAATCCTTGGCAGTATTCTAGTAGTTGAGTAGCACCGTAGACCTGTAACAACACCAATTACGAATGAAAACCAAAGTGAAAACCAAAAAAAACATGAAAAAAAGTCCTTTTCATCTCCTTATTATTGGTCTCACTTTACTTACTTTTACTTGCTTATTTATAATTGTGACATATCTTTAGTTCAATAGATCAGTTAGTACGATCTTAATTGTCCTCTTACCTTAGCATGAATATAAACCGAGACAAGATTGTGCAGATCCACAGATTTGGCTGCCCTTGCCTCACAGTGCCTCTGTAGTGGCAGGAGTTGGAAAAACGAGGCGGCAGCCAGCACCTCAAGCACGTCGGTCTCAGGAATATCCAGCCCTGAGCATCCACCCGAGTACAGGTACTTCATTACTTGCTGTAGTGAGAATATAGAAATGGAATTACTTTTCAGAAACCAACATAAAATAACGTACCTAATATTTTTGTTGAAGAATACAATATAGTTAAAGGTTTATACCTCAAATATATGATATCGGATGTCATTGATCTGCACGAGAGGTGGCGCAGTGTTAGCGACTGGTAAGGCTTCATTTGATGTTCTTGCTGGAGCTAGCATCGCTCGCAAGCGCGGTGACTCAGAGACGAGGACTATTTTGTGACCGTAAAATAATCGCCCTTCAACCCTGAGGGAAAATAGTATATTGTAATCTACTTTGTCACCGTTATACAAGGTATATATATAAGCATGATGAAACGCATAAAAGTATGTTTACCTAAAGGTAACGTCAGCCAATGATGGGTTGTTGACGTAAGAAGGGTCAACTCTAGCTGGAGTAGGCGCTACTGGAGGCGGCGGCTGTGCTACGCCTGGCACAGGCTCGCGTCCATAACACGCACACAGGATGTCAGCCAGCAGTAAGACTGTGCCTTCCTTCTGAACATAAAGGAGTTTTATTAATTTTGAATCCCCTATAAAAAACAACAATATCAAACCAACTTAATGTAAAGTGACATTACCTTGCTGTACCGTAGAATATTGAACAGCAGGGGGAGACACTCGTAAATAAATTGTTTACTGTAGTGACTATCATCTGACGGACACACCTGTAACGAATAGCAATAATTAATTAATAATTCACTACAGTCGACACCTTTAATTTCGTAGCTAATATTTGATTTTGGGGATATTACCTGAAGAAAGTCTTGTAAAAGTTGATCTATGACACTATCTAGCGCTGCATCAGCAGCAGCAGCCAGGGATAATGTCCACGCATGAAGAGACCATGGCACGCCTAGCGCATGTAGCTCCAGTGTGATATCTAGTTAACAAAAATTTATTATGAAAGGTAATAATAAAAAAGTGCTGGTAATACATCTCATGGCCACTTGGTTTTATTTCATGTACCCCCTAAAACTAAAATAAAAATTCTGAATTTAAAAATATCTAACGGTTGTTAAACAAGCGTTGTGTGGCCTTACCTAAGTGGTCAGTCTCGGCGGCACAGTACATGGCGTCATGTAACGCGCGTTGTTGTTGCTTGGTGAAGGTGGGTTGTCGTGGTGGTGGAGCAGCAGAACCCTCAGCCAGCACCTCCTCCAGAGACAGCACAGCCTGCGCTGCACGAGCTCCACCACGCACTGCTGCGCGTAAGCAAGCACGACGTCCATGCGCACAACATACTGCTACCGCACTAGAAATACGAAAATGATATTAAAAAATAACACAATTTTATTTGGTACGGGTATATCTACTGGAGAAATTTAAAGTTTTAGAGTTGGTGTATCAACTTATTTTCACATGGTTTTATAAAGCTTTCACTCACCTATAACAACCGTACTGTGCAGCTGGAGAGTAGCACAGAGCATCGTTCAGTTGTGTGGAGAGGAACGGATCTGCGCCATGCGATAGCAACAGTTGTACCAACTCCAAGTTACCGACACCACACGCAACCTGGAAGCAACATGAAGATTCAATTAGAATAGATGAATTGTGTAGGTCAATAATTTACTGAAAAATATACCTAGTCGTGAACGTCAAGTACCTGCAACGGTGTAAGAGTGCAAACATCGTCTCCTCTAGCAGGAGCACCGTCCACTCGGGCACCAGCGGCCAGCAGGCGGCGAACACACTCCACAGCGCCACCGCCGCCACCACTGCATGCGTACACCAGCGCGGTCCAACCTGGAAACAGTTTTGTTTTTAATTATTTAGTTTCAACTATTGACTTACTCATCCGCCGAGTGATCACAAATGTGATTGTTGAGCAATGCATTTAGTTTTCAAAAAAATCTCATATTAGTCTGCAATGGCATCAAGTTTTCACTTATGGTGATTGTTGTTAAAATATAAACACCTAAACGGAAGTGCCGACTTCTTTGGTAAAAAATAATTAGTAAACTACCTGCAGTCGGCGGGGTGTATGTGGGGGCAGTTTGTTGCGTGGATGGCGAGCGTGGTGATAGTGGCAGTGCGCAGTGGGCAGCACACGCACCACCTGTTTCGATGTTAGGATCTGCACCCGCTTCGAGAAGCATCTGCAAGGAAATAATATACCAACACTTAAAAACGATTTTAATGCAGACCTGATTTATTATTTATCATTTTATTGAATTCCATAGAACATTACTTTAACGTTCTCTACTTACAGCAACAATCTGTTCATCGCCAGCAAATGCAGCCTTCATAAGCGCCGTAAGCCCAGAAGCATCTGGCGCGTCTATTCCGGCTGATGGTAGTAATGATCGTACTCCACCCACAAGCTCTGGTCTTCCACTCAGTAAGGCTCGCTGCGCCACTCCAACGGCAGCTCTGTTCAGCTCGTCAGGTGTGCGAGCGCAGCGCGACCAGACTGGTTCTATGGCTTCTTCTAGTCTGTGAAATACATGGTTATGCCTAACTTAATAAAAGGATAGAAAAACGAAATATCAAAACCAATTACAAAATATTTTATTTCTTACGTAATAGGTCTAGGTGGGCAGTCCGCATGTGGTAGCAATAACCGCGCAGCCTGCATCACGTCATCAGCATCAGGTACAGCGGGCGGTGGACGAAGAGTGGCATGAGCTCGAATGACTCGCACCCACTCGCCTAGAGGTGGCAGGGCACCAGCACCTCGCTCACCCCATAGTCCTGCACCGCCACAACTGCCACCACTCGCACTAGAGTGCTCCAACTGGAAAGCCGGAAATACCGCATTAAGCAAGAAATGAAAAAATGGTTCCTATTTTCTTTATCAAGAGTTCTTTCTTCGTCTTTCTTTCTTTTATGAAACATACCTGTGAACACCTCATAAAGTAGTACAAAGCTCGTTCGGCAGCGGGAGATAAGGGCGGTAATCGAGGGTGTACCCTCCGCAGCACAGCTCGTAACTCTGACGCAGAGCCGGCGCAAGTTGTCAAGAGAACAGACGCAGTAGAACCACCAGAACTGTTGTTGGAACCAGCTGAGGTACCAGAACCACCTGTAAAGGATGAAACAAGTTACGAACCGAAAATACAAAATGAAGAATACGAGAGATTTGGCTTCCAACATACCAGAACCGTTAGTAGTAATACCAGAGTCGTGACTAAGTCCTAGTTGTCTGTGTTCGGGACGGGACACTCCTGACGATGATCCAGAACCAAGAGAGCTCATGGATTCCCAACGAGACAGGGATAATGCTCCTGAACATGAAGATGATTTTATCAAGTTAAAGATAAGATGATAAGTGCATATTTATAATTAATGTCTAATCATTTTCTATTCACGCCTTACCTGAAGCAACCCTGCCAGCATTCAGATGGCTATATGGCTGCAGTAGTCCCCAGAGATCAGCACAGTTAGCTACAGCATGGTCTACGACAGCTGGTGTGATGGGCGTACTAGCTGCACTGCTACCAGCTATTAGTGCGATTTCTTCTAGGAGTGTTTCCATACCAGCGCACAGGTAGATTGCTGCGTATCTGAATACAAAGTGACACACGAAATGGTTCGATTTGGAAATCTAAACAATCAATTTATACAGTTACACTATGTATACGTATTATGATTTGTGTGTTCAGTGCTCAAGGAGTTATTAACTTACTCGTGCACAAACGACGCGACACGGACATCCAGCATCCACCGTTGAAACCGACCTGGTGCGAGACTAGTTCTCGCTCGGGCTGCTGAGCCCAGGCGTCTCGCTGCGCTTCCCGATGTGGCATACATTGTTGCTGCTCGTTGACAACCCTGAAAATAATTTTTATTCTTATTAAAGACAAGAATTTTTTTTCAACACACAGGTATCAGATATGTTAATTAAGGTAATAAAACCTTAACCAGAGATGGCCTCAAGTAAAAGTATACGTTTACCTTAATGCAAGCATCAGCAAGCGGTGTACTAAGTACTATTCTGAAGGCACCAGCTACTTCGTGCTTTGAGCAGAATCCAAAGTTCTGCGAGAGACGCTGAGCTTCACGAGATATCCTTACTAGTGCCCTGAAATCATCATTTATTAACAGAATTACTACTAGCTAAAAACAGACAATTTGTATAGAGGATGTACGCTAGCAGGGCTATAGAAAATTTAGGATATTTTTTGATACCTTTGTAGTAAGTAGGCGAGTCTTGAAGGTGTGTCTGGTGCCATTCTCGGCGCAATGTCTCTGCATCTCCCTGCTTGTAGCGCCCGGCTGACTTCGCTTGCTGTCCAGGGCACGCAGCGTAATTCTACCAGCCTGAAAGACAGAATGAATACAATTTACAAGTAGTAAAAATTAAGATGGTAATGTGGGGCGTTTCAAAATTTTTTGAATCCGTACCTATTATGTGAATCAACCCACACAAATTCATCGGCGCTGGTAACGTTTGTGCAGACTGTGTCAAGTGAGGGTTGTCGCACCAAAGGAGCTCGTCTTCTGCGAGCTTCTGCAGCGCTTCCACTCTCTAAAAACAAAAGAAGTGCGTAGTTAAAGATCAGCTGTAAAACAACAGGATGTTTTATGTTTCTTTACAAAATGTTTCTCGCAATTAGATATAACTAGATGACGTGAACATTTTAGATTCTTCAAAATATAATTAACAATTCTGTCTGAATGAACATCCATACCTGGAGCTCCATTATTGCTTCCACCGCCAGCGCTGGAAGCACTCGTGGCAGTACTGCTGCTGTCCCTCGAGCGAAGTGTCAGCTGCTTGATGGCTGATCTGATGTCCTCCAACCCTCCACCCCCGGGCCATGGGGACTGCAACTGAACAACTCAAGGATTACAAAGAGAGACTCATTCATAAAATGCTACTAAAAGATTTCTAAGTAGATTGGACTATTATTGGCTCAGGACTTTAATCATATAACAAGTTTAAGATATCATATTTATGATATAAGATATCTATTATTAATTTTTGGACTTCTCGGAAAGAGAATAACAGTATAATAGACTTCGTACATACCTTATTGTGTGGTCTATGTTTAGTCCGTGCATGTGGTGGCTGTCGTGTCCTGCGAGGCTCCTCTCGGCCTGCCTCTCCGCCACCTCCACTATCCGACATGGATGCATGTCCGGATGACCTGTTCTCGTCTGAACTGCTGTTGCAGTCGCGGACGCCATTCTGTGTAGTGGGGACATTGAATATCTTTACATCTTATGTTAATAACGATCAAAACATTGAAAGTCTTGAAAGCGAAACATACATTATTAAGGACAGAAAAACACTTCAGTATAAAATTAAAAGCTTAAAATTTTTACTAATCTCAAAAATCAGTGAATTAAATCATCCGTCTCCATTAAGATAAAAAGAGCTCATCAGTCTTATGAAACATACGCTGACGCATCTGCATGCACAACATGGCTGCCATTGTCGCTGATGCTTTCGCTTTCAACAATATTTAAAGCTTCCCACCGATTACGCTTTTCCCTATCAAGAGATCGTGGGATTTTGTTAAAAACAATGGTAATTTATTTTTTCTGGCGGCAACACTTTCGCCGCGTAACGCTTGCTCGGATAATTATTGTAATGGTTACAGACGATGTGATCGCGACTAATTACTAATTAGCTCATGATGAATGCCAGCCATCATACTGCAGCCGACAGCCGACACGCTGGAAAGTGTTTTCTTTGAATGAAATCAATACATTCACAAGGTAGGTATTAATTAACATTCTACGAGTTTTTTTTATGGCGTAAGCCAGTAAACGAGCAGACGGATCACTTGATGGTAAGCAATCGGCGTCGCCCATGGACACCTGGAACACCAGAGGCCAGAGGCGTTACAAGTACGTTACCGGCCTTTTTGGGGAATTAGGAGTTTAAAGATCGTTGGGGATTCAGGAATGGGGAGATTGGGGAAGGGGCCCTCCCCTTCCCCAATCTCCCCATTTTACCCTTAATTGGGCGTCCGGTAACCTCACTCATACGACGAAACAACGCAAGTTTTCACACATAGCACAAATTTTCTAGTATCGAGAGATTTGACTCACAAGTGTGTACCTAACTACCTGATTAGGTATCTAAACTTATTACCTACTTAAGAAAAGATGTAATAATTTTCAAAATAATTGAATTCGTCAGGACATTGAACCCAATATGCTTGATGTTAATCAATTACCACGCATGTAACAGATTCTCAATAATCTCAATCTAACGTCAAGATCCCGCAACCACAATGTGAGTCTCGCGTGCGCCACTGCAGTTAGCTCAACATTATTATTTGAATGTTATGATGACCTGATGACATCCATTTGATTTGGAATTGCTTGGACATAATAAAATTATGTATTTGCCAATTGTTTAGTAAGTTAAGTAAGTGCGTATTAGATACGGCGTGGAATGTAACTATTATCAGATATTTTGAAACATTATATAGACATGACGATGAAGACACGTGTTAGATTTAGTCTTTATTCAAGTTTACGTATTAAGAATGACTGCAAAGGGTTGCAGTCATTCTTTGATAGCATTATGCACATAGCAGATTACCTGATAGCATCAGAGGCCTTAGTACGAATTTGATTTACGTTTAAAGTTTTCGAAACGAGTACGCGTTCGGCGCTTTGAGGCCTTAGTAAAACTTTGTTTCATGTTTAAAGTAATCGAAACAAGTACGCGTTCGGCGCTCTAATTGGCCGGCTGCAATGAACTAACCAATCGGAGCGCAGACGGCAGACTCGTTTCGATTACTTTTAACGTAAATCAAACTCGTACTACCTAAGCCCTCTGATTGGCCGGCGCCAATGAAGCCACCAATCACAGCGCCGAACGCGTAGTCGTTACGATTACTTTAAACGTAAAACAAACTCGTACTAAGGCCTCTGAAGAGTATTAAACCTCGAAAGCGCCCTAGGCAAGCACCTTATAGCCCCTAATTTTTTAGTAGCAGACGTAATTGGATGCGCGCCAACCCTCTGTACCTTAGCCCCCAAGGCAGTTCTCTCGTTTATTGTCTTAGGGATAAAACAGCTCTGGATAACATTAGCAGATTGCCTTCAAAGATCTTTCAAAGTATTTATATCAGGCATTCCGTCTAACTTTATCGATACAGTCTCATTGGTCTAGTGATTGCCAGTGCTGCTGGTGCTGCCGATCAAAGGGTCTCAATTGGTTTCCCAGGTCGTGTAAAGTATAATAAAAGATGATCAACACTTACTAAATTTTAAACTTAAACGATTTGAAAGAATCATCAAGTTGCTATTATCTACATAGTAATGATGTCACTATGGTATGTTTTCTTGCGTGTTAATATCGGTGTCAAAACTGTTACAACCATTGTTTTGTTAATTGAATTTAGCAATTGTTTATAACTATTAAGGTTCATGTTGTAATAACAAAATTATATTGTAAGTCCGTACTACAAGAGCGGTTGAGCAAACTTCCAAGTTTTTGTTACTTCATGGGGCCATTGAAGCGCATCTCCAATCGTTATGGCCATTAAACGAAGATGATTTTTGTAAATTGAATATAAAAAACGTTATTGTCGTTTAGTAAGTAAACACGTTATCAAAAGAGTTGTTCAACGAAACATAACCAAAATATAATATAACCAGTTAATAAAGTTACGTGACAAAATTGATATCACGCCGGATTTTTTGAAAAAGGATGATACCACCATTTATGAAATGAAATGAAATGAAATACGTTTATTCGGCATAACTAAGACAAAAATAAATAAAGACATGCACGCCAGGAAAACGAAATATACCTATGTATGTAGCGCTGCGAACTAATTAGCGGTGTTTTGTGTACATTATGACAAGTAACAATAAAAATGTTTAAAAACAGAGATAGCAAGAAAAAAAAGATAAATAGGTACTTGTAAATTATAAAACAAAATCAAGCTAATAATACAGGTGCAACATACTACGCGGTGTTGGTGGACATCAATCCGAAAGAGTCACCAACTCAGCAAAAAGCTAGGCACAATGAGTACCCAACACTGATTTTCAGTTGGCACCCCTGCAGTGACGCACGGACGAGAGTAACACATACCTACCTACTACAAGTATCCGCATATGCCAAAATTTCATTTTAATTTTGTTAGTTCTATATAATAAAAATATTACCAGATGAAGAAGAGACAGATAATAAAAATATTACCAAATTATAATTAAAATTGTGTACTATTAAATAAATAATTGTGTGTAATATATTATATGCAAAAAATGCCAACAATAATTATGTCGGAGTGTCGTACGAGCTATCCTCGTGACCGGACGTTTTACTAATTAGTTATTCCATTTAAGCGCTTATCGCATATTTTGTTTACGCGCGGCCCAACCGGTTTCCCCGGTCGGGCTTGCAGCCGTTGTTTGTGCATATGAGTGAGTCGAACGTAAATGAATCAAATATAATAAATTCGTTATCGAGCGCTGACGAGTTAGAGGACGGTACAAACATGGATATTGAGGACAATACACAACAGGTTGAAACGGAGTTGATAGGAGGGAAGAGGATAAGGGATGAAAACTCTTCAGAGGATGGATGGAGTGTAGTTAATAGAGGGAGAAGCAAACTTATATGTAGTAGGGAACAGCACGATGAGAGAATAAGAGAAGAGAGAACACAGGTATGCGTCACGTGTAAAGAACCTTTGCCGAAACAATTTGCTTTGGCACGCCTATTTAAGACACGCAATATTCCTAGCGGCAAGATCTATAAGATTAAATACGTACATCAGTATAAAATGCTGATTACGTTTGATAATGATATGGGTGCAGAGGAATTTATAAAGTGTTCGGTGTTTACTGACATGGGTTGGTCTTGCCAAAAGACTTCGGAAGTAGGTGTATCGTACGGACTCATTAGAGCAATGGAACTTGACATTTCTGATGAGGATCTTAAAAGTAATTTATCAAGCAGTGCTGAGATAACATCGATTAAAAGATTAAATAAACGTTGCTCAGATGACCCCGAAGGCAACGGCTGGTCTCCGAGTGAAACAATTCGGCTAGGGTTCAAAGGGCCCTCCTTACCAGCTTATGTCTATATTTACAACTTGAGGATTCCAGTGGAGCGGTTTGTATTTCCGGTTACTCAATGTGCTAACTGCTGGAAATTTGGCCATTTAAAGATAAGATGTCCATCCAAGCAGCCTGTTTGCCCCAAATGCTCATTAAAACACCTCAATTGCACAACCACTTCATTCACTTGTGTGAATTGTTCAGGCTGTCATATGGCGCTCGATAAAGTATGTCCATCTTTTACGAAGGAAAAGAAGCTACGCGATATTATGTCAGAATTTAACTGCACTTATAGGAAGGCGCTCACCCTATACGTTCCGCCTTCCCCCGTCCAAATTCCTCAAGTGGTTGCTAATCCAACGCTCGACGGCAGCCTGACTTATGCAGAAATTACCAAATCCAATCCACTAACAGCGGAGGCAAATGTTGGTACAGCATTGGAAACAAACGACCCAGATACAGCGACTGCAAATATACGAGCTAAACCAAAACGGACTCTGAAGAAGCATCGCCGACCAGTGACCCCCACGCCTTCTGAGAACATACTATGGCATCATAATCCCGAGTCTTCAGATTCTTCCGAAAAATTGGACAATCCTTTAGCAAATAAGAATGAACATCTCGATAAGACTGTACATAATTTGAGTTTTTGGCATATGATAAGAAAAATTAGTAATATTATAAAAAGTAAGGAATCTCTTCAAATTAAAATCAAACAATCACTTTCCATATTTACAGAGTGGCTGACACAAAAAATTGTAAGTAGTTTATCTATTGATTCGATATTTGATTTATTTGTCGGAAATGGCTAATGATAATGTTTATACAAACTTAAATATTATGCAATGGAATTGCCAGAGCATACGACCCAAATCTCATTCACTCGAATTACACCTAAATCAGGAAAAAATACATATTGCCGTGTTAAGCGAGACTTGGTTGGAACCCGAAAGTTCTTTTAGAATTAACGACTACAATACGTATAGGTTAGACAGAGAAGATCGTTACGGTGGTGTCGCCGTTATGACTCATCGCTCTGTAAGGTCTATTGTTTGCCCAACACAAAGTCGTAATCCTGGTATTGAACTATTGCATATTAAAATTTTAAATTGTCAGCATATTGAGAATGTAATCTCCATTTATTGCCCGTCGACG